TAAACCTCTTAATTTTCTTAGTAATTGGAAGAACATGATAGCAACATTGGTAATGATGATAATACAAGGAGTTGAAGTAGATGAAGAGGCATTTCTAATGGCATCTTCAATGCTTTCTTATATTGCATGCTCACAACTTAATAGCCGATATGCATGATCATGATGATGTCATTTGTGATCAAAGTACCTTACTATATTGAGCCATTGTGGAATACAAGGTCATCAAATCTGGATCATAAGCACTTTTCTTATCCTCTTGTGTGTCGACATTGATATGTTATTATTGTTTTTGGCGCCCTTCCATTCATGCATTCTAACCATGACTTGGATAACCGTACATATGTTTTTGTATCCTCTCATGAAAGCAAACCATATCCAAATAAGATAGTTTGTCCATGGTGATTTACTCTAACAAAAGGCGCAAACGACATATTATATTTGTTTGTCAAATGTGTGCCATAATATCTACCAAAGGGCCTGTAGCCCAACGATAATAGGTGTGGCGAAAAGGTGCCCCTCCCCAAAAGGTTGAGGGCAAGTCTCGTTGTGGACAAATTAGTAGATTTAGGAGTATGATTAATGGTTGTGTGTGCGCTAGTCGTTCCAAAAAAAAAACATCTCCGAATGACTTGTAAGCAGCCCTAGATCTTGCATATGCTCAAAATACATTTTGCACATGACTTTCATCATCCATGTCAATCTCGTAGAAAAAAAAATTGAACTCTTATTTTTGCATATGGAGAAAATAATTACGAAGTGCCTCAGCATCCCCAAGCCCGAAAACTTAGTTGTCTTACTTTTGCGATGTAAGATCTACAATCTATTTTGCCAAACAACAAATTGCCATACCCTTCCACTTCAACAACTAACGGATGAAATTTTTTGTTTAATGAAATTCCAACATAATCTTTCAATTCAAGTCTTCTCTTAGCATATGAATCCATTTTCTTATGTGATTGTTGGAAACAAGATCTTTTGGGACTTAAAACATGGTTATGTTTAAGAAAACCCCGAGAGATGGTGCATCTTCCATCACCATATGCAATTACGCATATTTTTGCTTTACAATTTGTTTTAGAAGACTTTTGATATGTTGTTTTTGTCTTAGGTACACATACACCTCCTCTAGCACATCCAAGTAAGTAGTATGTTGTAGCAATACAACCTTTTGTTCTTATACTAGTTTTCCGTACACTAAATCAAATATGGTATGCATATGTTTTAAAGTAATTACAAAGGTCATTTTCTGTGTAACGCCCCGATTTTTCAGAATAAAATTTCCATTCTAAAATATAGATCCATATGAGTGATTACGGTTCATTAAGAATATGTTAGTTAGTTGAAGTAATTATGAGTAATGATGGAAGCTATTGAGAGGTTATGGAGCAATGTTGATACCTTAAGGTCTATATGAGCTTTCTTATAGTTATTGCGACTTAAAAAGGTCATAATCATTAAATGAATAAGATGTATATGAGTTCAAAACAAGTTGCTTACACTTATTACACCCATTTGAGTCATTTGATAAACTTGTAGGACAATTAGTTGCATTTGGATCAAAGTATGATGTCTAAGAATGGAAAATTAGTTGTTTTTGGCTTACTGGGCATGACACGGGCCGTGACGTGCTCTGAGAGTCTTAAGTCAACCAAACTTTTTTTGATCATAACTTTTTTATATAGACTCGAAATCATGCACCGTTTTCATCTACATTCATTGATGTTGCCATAATTAGCTATACATTTTTGACAATTATCTATATAAATTAATATTAAATGTTATTAAAGATCAATGATATTTAATATGCTTTGAATTGGATGAAGAAGCACTTTGGAGCAAAGATTTGAAGAATTGAAGCTATGACCATTAGGACAACAAATCTTTTTGCTTTATGATTGTGTTTAACAATTCCTTTTTGATGTTTTGATATTTTTATTTACTGATTATGGGGTAATACCTTTTTGCTTTCAATAGAGCAGATGAAACCTTAAAGATTTGTTGTGATTCCTTTAATCAAATTATTAGTTTTATTTAGTTTATTATGTTTGTTTGGTTAAATTATGTATATGTTTTAGTTGATATCTTTGTTGCTTATAACTGAGTTAATAGAGTCTAGAGGACCAATTTGACTTTGTTGGCTTGAATCATAATTGTTAATATCCAATGATAATTATGACCATTGACGAACCAAATCATAGGGTTAGGTTAATAAAGTTGGTAAATTTAAAGTTTATGAGTGCAGATAACCAATCATGTACATAACTGATTACCATGTCCATTGCAATTATTTCACCAATCGAATATCTATTAATACGAACTTAATAATAATTTTTTATATAGTTAATTGCATAATCATTATGTTGATTGTCTTAATAATTATAATGTTAGTTTATCAAACAAAGATAACTGACTAGGATAGAAATTGGTGAATAATTACTAATATCCATTGCACTCAATTGGAATCCACCATAACTGAAATGTGTAATTGAATCTATATGAAAGGATCATTATTTCTCTTGTCTCTAAATCTAATCTTTAGTATTGTCTTCATTTAATTAGTTTTAGTTGAGTTTAAGTGAATTTAAACAAAACCCCCTTTTTTACTTTACTATTTATTGTTTAATTAATATTTGAATTATCTAATATAAATCATTCTAGTTCCCCTTATGCTTGACATAGTTTCTTACCTTAACAATACTGCTACACGATTATGTACAATGCTTAGTGTGTACATTAGTTTACTAGTGATAAATTATGATTTATAAATTTAAAACTAGTGCACATAAAAACACATCATTCAAGGTTTGATGTAAGAAATATTGTGAGACCATAAAATTTCATATTTTTTTTTATAATTAAAAGATTAATAAGGTTTTGACATTTTTATTTATATTCATAGGTGACACTTGAATTTTCAACCTATTTGTGAAAAATAAAGGAAGTATTATATATCTAGCTTTGGACTAAGGTGAGTACATACCCAAAGTACATGCCCCTTTTACTTATTTGAGATGTTTTGAGTATGTTATAAACTATATATATATATATATATATATATATATATATATATATATATATATATATATACTTGATTGTATGTGGCCTTATGACATTTGTATGTATGACACGAAGAAGGATTTTGAATATGTTTGAAATGAATTAAGTAAATTGGTTTGGAAAATATTTTAAGCTTGGTCTGGAAAATGGTTTAAGACATGCTTATGAAAAAGATTCAATATTTTGAAATAGTTTTTAAATTTTTTTGGATTTTAGACTTAGGAAGTGGGTTATTTCCATTACCCAATTCCAATTCAACAGTTAGGTTTCAAATATTACTTAACAAGCTCCCCAAACCTAACATATTATTTTGACATGTACTCGCAAATGAATTCAAAAAACTTGTTTTATGATTCCATAATATGTATGGTTTATCTAAACTCGTGTGAAGATATTATGATTGAACTCTCTCGTACCTAAATTGAATTTAAAACTATATTTGACCAAATTTTGCAATGATGTTTTCAAGGAAGTAAATGCTTTTAAAAAGTTGACTAAATTTTTTCTAACCCTTACGAGAGGTGTTACAGATAGTTGACCGATCACTTGTAAATTTACTCCTCGATTTGTATATGATAATTAAGAGATATTATCTAAGGTAAGCTATTTCAATAACTATTAATAATATATGCAATAGAGTTTTGTACGACAAGCTTCATAACCTGTACCTCTTAACTTTTCAAGAAGTGATCAACATCCTTTACATAATAGTATAAATATAGATAAGCTATATTGATTTATAAGATATACAACCCATAAGGCCATACAATGTGGTACTCCCAAACGAGTTTTCAGTGATGAGCTCAATGATGGGGTGGTCCGGCTACACCGTGTCGCGAGTAGCTTGGTTACCGAAATTAAAGAACAAGCTTCTCAACTCGAAGAACAAGCTTCTCATCTCAATTCAGTTTTCTCACAATGTTTTTTCCTTGAATATTTTTGCCATCTAACAAAGTCTTGATACAACCGGTAATGGCAATGGCCTCATGGGTCGATCAAAGTCTTCCCATACTATACACACAGTCACGAGTCAATCAAAGTCAAACATTCAAACCCAACCATGCTACATGTACATCACTTGTGATAATGAGCGTTAAGCGAACATATAACGTGGCATGTTTCTCTACTATGATGCGGTCATGAACCTTAAATGAGCAACTAAACATAAGGATATGTCAAGTTGTCAATCGCAATAGCCTCCTCTCATTATAAATCATCGATCTCTTTATCAAATTCTCTCGCATGTTAAATTAGAATACCATAGATTCTAAGTATGCAAAATTTTCCTTAAACTTAGGGTTATGGTTGAGTATTGTTGGGAATGATTGGTCATAATATTATTTAATGTTAAACATGTAGGTTATCTAGCTTGTTTCTTAATGGGAAGTAATCTGTATACAAACGTTTTGTCATATATAACTATTTATATTTTATAAAATAGTACAATTTGTATACTACTTTCTAACACATAAATTGTTGTCTATAAAAAACATTGTTGCGTACGAATGCAATACCATTTATTGTCCTAGAGGCAATGGTGAGTCTTGAATTTGCTAGACATGTAAGTTACTTGTTCCGATGAATTATGTCTTCTTTTTGAATATGTTGTTAGTCCACTAATTAACTAAAACCTTGAGGTAGCAAATTGAATAATCTCTTTATATATATATATATATATATATATATATATATATATATATATATATATATATATATATATATATATATATATATATATATATATATCACATTTGATAAAAAAGAGCAAACATACAAATCAATTGGTCCTAACATGACAATGTTAACTTGATTTATATGAAACTTGGTCAATGTTCGCATCCCATGGTAGGAAGAAAGAAGTTAATTCCTATGTAAACTTTAGAATTATTGACAAAAAAGTAAATATTTGTAAACTCCCATGAAAAAGTTTTAGTTTGAATTTGTTAGAAGAATTTTCTAGTAGTAATCTTGCTCCCCGACGATTCAGATTGTCCTAACCTGAGCTCAAGGTCTACTTCATTCCCCGGTGATATTGGATCTCTCATTACATTTTCTTGATGGTTATTTCTTGAATCATGCGAGCCATCCCCAAAAAATTGACGTGATTTGTTTTTCCCTTTAGCATAAATTGAAAAGGGATTGATTGCGACGTTGGTGGCAGCAACGTTTGGTGGTGGTGAGAAGGTCGGCATAGCTTTATGCATGCGGTGGATTTGCATATGGCCTCCAAGTGCTTGTGGATTGGTGAAGCGGCTTGTGCAAAAAGTGCAATTGTATCGCAAACTTTGTTGATGTTGTTCTTCGACAGTTGTGGTGGATGTTATTGCGTCGTTGTAGTTTTCTTGATTTGGTTCCATCGAAGGCTAATAGAGCAACAAACACACAAAAGGAGAGAGAAGTTTAGAATATACTAATATTTACTGTATATTGTAAGTTGGCATGGAACTTATATATATATAGATGTCAAATTCTTTCCGAAGTGTTCAAAAAATCTATTTATTTATCAAATTTGATTCTGTATGTTAAATACAAGGGATTTTTTTGATGTAAAGTAAATACTATAATATATATGATTCACGGTGTATAATAAAAGTGATAGATTGATAGTTCACTATATATCACAACCTTAAATATGATCGTTACTGTAGATACTTGAGAACAGGTCGTCACAATAGTCGATATATTTATCAAATAACCTGCAACTTTTATATATATATATATATATATATATATATATATATATATATATATATATATATTAACGTTGCGTTTTGCGTGCCATAGCTTGCTAAAAAACTAATTTATTTTTCAATTTATTTATTTTTTTGTTTTTTTATGTTTGGTAAGCCGAAAAGCTAGCTTTTAAAAACTACTTGGAATAGATTTTCAGGAGTTATTATTTTTTTTTTTACAAACTTTCCAAATATACACTTAATTAATTATATAAAACTTATTTTGGAAAATGTCCGTTTATGTAATTTTATATCTTTCAGTTATATTATCAGCTAGTTTTACGAAACACTTTTTTATCAGCTAGTTAACAGCTACCTTTTTAACTATCAGCTAGTTTTCAGTTATCAGCTAGTATACTAAACGCAACCTAAATATGTAAATCACTACAATATAATAATTACAATGTTTCTAAATCTTACAATTAACAATGATATATACCAAAAGTTTTAGACCTAACAGTACCAAATCATGGTCGCCTCTAAGGTTGTACAACCAAACATACATGTTTCGTGTAAGGGGTCCATTTTTATGTACTAAAGACATAGGAATTATTGACATAATTAAATTCCGTTGGAAATTCGTCGCTAAGGGCTAACAACAACAGATCAAACGACAAAATTATGTAAGGACTTTAGCGACAAAATTAGCTTATTTGGAAACTGGCTTTCTCTAATTACCATCACTAATATTTCATTGATTATTTGTATATGATACCTTCTTCTATTTTTAATCATAGTCAATATGATAATTCTTGATGATCTACTAGGTATCAAATCATATCACATAATTTGTAACATCCCGGAATCGCAAGTGTAGAGTTGAAGGGCTAAAAGTGTAAGTTTCGGAGGGTGACTCGGCGAGTCCATGGATAGACTCGGCGAGTCAGATCGCGGCTATGGTCGCGTGTTAAGTGGCCTACTCGGCGAGTCCAAAGATGGACTCGGCGAGTAGGTGCTGTATGGAGAAAACCCTAATTTTCGGGGTTGAGCCCTATATAAAGAGCATTATACCCCTCCACAGCCTCCCTTATTCCCCCCTTGAGTTCCAGAAACCCTAAATTCGTGGAGAGTCCATTTGTGGAGCAAATTAGAGCTTGGAGAGGTGTTGGTTGAAGAAATCTTGAAGGAGAAGTGGCTTGGATCAAAGGGCTTTGCTTGGATTCGAGTTTGGTTGCTATTGAGGCATCTTTTGGAGGTAATACTTTCGTTCTTGGGCTGTGTTTTCCTAGTTTCTCATTTTGGGGTTGTGTGGGGTGCTTGGTTGTGTGACATCTTGATGTTGGAGGATGGATCTGAGGTTGCTACCTCAGATCTGGAGTGGAGAAGATCTTAAGAGCATTAAAGCCCCTGTTCTTGTGTTGTTGATGGAGCTACCATGTCCCAAACCTTGGTTCTAAGGTGAATAAGGCCTAGATCTCTTTAGATTCACGTAAAGTTTGCCACTTTACGTGATGGATGGATTGTAGGAGGTTGGATCTATGTTTTGGATCAATTGCATGGCCTGAGATGCTTCTGTATGGATTCAGACCGGTGGTACTCGTCGAGTCACATGGGGCGACTCGACGAGTTGCTTGAAGATGGCTTGGAACTCGACGAGTTGGAAGAACAACTCGGCGATTAGGTTGAAGATAGCCTTGGACTCGACGAGTCCATTTGGACTCGGCGAGTCTTGTCGAGGAAGTCCCAATATTTCTGGTTGAGTCGATGAATCGGTGAGTCAAGGGATGACTCGGTGAGTTGGGTGCGAGTAGACTCAGAGTTGTTGGACTCGACGAGTCTTGGGGTGACTCGGCGAGTTGGGTCGTTGATTGAAGGAAGTTCTGAGCATATGGACTCGGCGAGTCATCGGGTTGACTCGGCGAGTAGGGTCAGTCAGGGGATGACTTTGACTTGTCCAAGGTTGACCAGTTGTCTTCCAGGGGTATTTTGGTAATTAAGGGTATTTATTGAGTTGTATGTTTTGATGTTCAGTGGAGGAGTTCGTGTCAGAGTTCGGAGCAGCGGGATCTTATCCTTTCAGCCGACAGTTTCGAGGTGAGTTATCCTCACTATATCAACAGGGTCTAAGGCACCAAGGTCGGCCCTTTATTGGATTGAGATTCGGATATGGTTATTATGTTATTGTTTGATGTGTCTGCATCCTGGTAGCTAGGATGGTACATGCTAGGAGACCTTGTTAAGGTTAGTTTCCCGATATACAGAGTGATGCTATGCTAGTGACCGGTTAGGTCGGTAACCCGGTTAGGGTAATGATATGCTATGTGATCTGATTACCCGGTTTGTTGACTATGACTGTTATATGATTGTATGTTTTGTGCACATGGTTGTTTGGACTGGAGATGGGTTGAGGCGGGTCCTGCTTTGTGCTGTAAGCCAAGATACCCAGGGCGGACCGGTTGTTCCGAAGGCCCAGCGAGCGGTCCGGATAGGCTGTAGGCTCCACGAGGGTGGACCAGACGTGTCGAGGCTTTGGAGAGTGGACCAGGCCAATTGAAGGCCCGATGCGGGCGGACCAGTCACACTGTAGACTCAGAGAGTGGACCAGGTGGGTTGAAGGCCCGATGCGGGCGGACCAACCCCACTGTAGACTCGAAAGACATGACTAGACCTGGAGGATGGATCCGATGGACTGAAGGCCCGATACGGCAGACCAGTCACACGGTAGACCCGATATGCATGGCTGTTCTATGTTCTGTTATGTTATGTATGTTTTATATGTTTTGGACCGGAAGGTCGCAGCCTGGAAGGGCGTATACGTGGTTGGTATTTTGGGGGTATCTTACTAAGCTTTCGGGCTTACAGTTGTGGTTTAATGTTTTTCAGGTTCTTCAGGAGACCGTGGCAAGGCGAAGGCGCGATCGTACCGCTCCTCATGATTTTGTAGCAATGTGATTCTAGGAATACTCTAATGATTTGTATTGAAAACCTTTTTGTAAACATTTTAATGAAAATCGGGTTGTTTTGAAAAATTTAAATTGGTTGTATTTTTCGGATGTTACATAATTAACGAGTTTTGCTTATATATAAAAAATTAAATTAATAATTCATTTTTACTTTTTGCACAAAATCGTTACCGCCTTGAGGTGTAGGGGTAAAAATGTCAACTTTGTCCACCCTTACAATTGTGCCTTCGTGATGCTTCAACATGTAGACCAAGGAACGCTAAAACAGAATTTAAACATAGCTTCATCCCTTGTTATAGCCAAAACTGAACGGAAACAACTTGGTGGAAGAAATCAAGAACTACATCATGCATAATTAAATACTTCATTGCGCCATTGCAACCTCGTATTAGACACACTTAACAGCTACTCTTGTATATGTTTGTGTATAGTCTTTAATTCTTTGAGGTTGTAATGTGTAAATTGTATTTCT